GCGACGGTGTACTACGATCAGTGCCTGTTCCGGTTCTGCGACCGCGACTTTCTCTCTAGCTACGACAACTCCGCAGACCTGGTGGTCGCGTGGAACATGAACAGCGTGAGCGGAAGGAACGTCGACGCATTCGTTAGCCTGCTCGAGCGGCTCGTAAACACGGTGGCCGTCGTGGCCAGCAACGCTCATATGACACGGCATCCAGATCGAACGGTTATTAATGAGGGAAAGTAAGATCTTGGACAATGAAAGGCTAATATGACATGGCGTAAGGATCGAACGGTTATGAAAGAGGTATAGCCCCCACAAAATACCCGTCCTTTTATATTATGACGATGACGACGATGATATAGAAGAGAAGAAAGGCCCGGAACGCTCCGGAGGAAAGGGTGACCGATGGGCCCAGACGGAGAAGCTAAGGGATCAATCGGAATGCCGGCCCAATCGACTGTACCCCAGCCTATATACTGGATCGATAGTTGAAGCCCAAGTAGCTTGCGTGTGTGAAGAGTCACTGTCACGTGGTGCGTATATGTTCGACGACCGGCGGCCGGCGGCCAAGGTTGGCTTCAGAAACTACGTATTCGTACCCCACCTACTACCGCTGGGTACTCTTCTTCCTCCTTTTTCTCGTGGGTTGGCGGCAGCGCAGGCTACTCGTCGTCGCCTATAGCATTTTCATTTTTTTTTTTAAAAAAGGGCAAGTATGTAGGCGATAAGTCTGTCGGAAAAAATAGGCCTAGGTGGACTAGGCCGGACAGATGTGGCACACACCTCCTATCAGTTCTGAAAGCCAACAGTTACTGCCCTATCAGCAACCAGGTAGACAATGATCGGCTTCTATTATTGTATTTTCTTTCCATTAAATAGCACTTTTTTCTGAAATTTTCTATTAAATTAATCCCTCCATTTCAAATTATAAGCCATCTTAACTTTTCTAGGTGCATAGTTTTTGCTACATATATAGATATACATTGTCTAGGTAAAAGTTGTATGTATTAAAAAAAATAAAATTACTCACTAGTAAGTACATTTAGAACAGAGTAAATAATATTTATTTATTTTGATAAAAAGTCACCGCTTTGTATCTATTGTCCCTGCATGACTAGTCGCAACCTGCTGCACGGTTCAACCGGGGGGCTGGTGTTTCCTCGATCTCACGTGATGCACACCTCCGCATTGACAAACCGTACCACGCCTGTGCCAGCTGTCGTCGTCGGGCAGCGTCCACGTGGCTGCCGTTGGTACTTGGTCATCACCGTTTCATTTGTCAGCGAGTTGGCGGGAGGAAGAATGAGCTCGCCTTGTCAATGCTAATCAGGCGGAGCGACAGACACGACTGCATCGTACAATGTACTTAGGGCCTGTTTAGATTCCAAAATTTTTTGCATAGTATCCGTCACATCGAATCTTGCGGCACATGCATGGAGTACTAAATGTAGACGAAAAAAAAAACTAATTGCACAGTTGGGTGAGAAATCGCGAGATGAAACTTTTGAATCTAATTAATCCATAATTATACACTAATTACCAAATACAAACGAAATGCTACAGTGAGCCAAAATCCAAAAATTTTTGGATCTAAACGCCCCCTTACTCAAATATTTACTACAAACGAGACAAACAAAGAGAGAGAATATATATATATATATATATATATGGAGAATATATTCAGTAGTCAGCTACAAAATAAGTTATTCTGTAGCCACCTCTATTTACAATAATGTCAATACATATTTACGATAGTTGGGTTACTATAACATACGGGGATATTTACCATAACGTTATAGTAAACCACTTAATAAGGAGTTACTATAATCTCGTAAATTAACATAGTAATTATCGTAACTCAAAGTGGGTACATAATAAGTTATTTTATAGCCAGGTACAGGGTAGTATATATATATATATATATATATATATATATATATATATATATATATATATATATATATATATATATATATATATATATAAATAATAAGGTGTCATAGGCACCTGTTGTGGATTCATCCCGGATGTGCATGTGCAATCGTGTATTCAGGAGGAGTTGAAAAAAGACGGTAGCTCTCTCGTACGTTGAGTGATTGCGCATAGAAACATACATACAATGAATTCGCAACTGCTGCCTACGGCTGAAACCCGAGGACATTTTCTGCTCATTTTTTAAACAAATATCCAATATTGTGACACTCCGTGCATTCTTTTTCATATACCCTATTAACTTTGTCCTAAGTCAGACGTCTACACCTTCGACCATCAATTTTAAGAAAATCCGTATAGTTTCACAATATGTAAATTATATATTACGAAAGTATTTGTCATACTAAATCTAAAAACATAAATCTTATGTTGTTAATAGGTACCACTTTTTTAGAAAAAAACATTGATGGTCAAACTTAAATAAGTTTGACTTGGGACAAAACTAATACGACATGTATAAAATGATGAGAGAGTACTACATAAAGTAACACATTACATCAACAAAATTTCTAACACCTAACTAACAAAAATTTAAGTTCAGGGGCATCGGACCCAGGCGTGCCACGCGCTTTGACCGCCAGCACCCGGCTCGCCACACCCGATCCCCCGTCGCTCGGGCCGTACCCCATGACTCCGTAAAACACACCTCTGAAACATAAAATACTTGAATGCAATATACGTCTGAAATAGATGAAACATTTGAAACATACACTTGAAACATATGTGTGAAACATATGCAACATCCAGATAAAACACTTGCATCTTGCAAATGAAAACACCTACTGCAACATAAGATTGAAACATATAAAATCATTGGAACATACTATTGCAACATGTTTAAAACGTATGCAACATCCGAATAAAAAACGCTTGCAAACATACGTCTGAAAAACAGACGAAACATTTCGAACAAACGCTTGCAATATGCCTCTGAAACACATGCAACATCCCAATCTCCTTTTGCAACATCCACATGAAACATTTGCAACATACCTCTAAAACATCTAAAACATACATGCAACATGTCAGATGCGGTAATCTAGTGGGCGGCGACCACTATGTCTGGCGTGTTGAAGAACTCGATAACCGCCTCGATGGGCAGATCGGGGTTGGGAGGCGGCTTTGCGAAGAGCACCACGGAAATGGCCCCTATGAGCTTCTTCCGCTACTGGGGCGCGAGGAGCCTCGAGGCCAGCGCAAAGTACGCACAACCGCGACGCCCTCGCCGTCTCCAGCCGCGGGTGAAGGTGATGAGGAGGATGCTAGCGCCGGCGCCGGCGATGAGGTCGGGTACGGACGAGAGGCATGACTCTAGTAGCGAAGCTTGGCGTCGCGGAGGCGGGTGAGGGCTACGGGGCGGAGGAAGCGAAGCCGAGCGTACGTGCGACGAGCGTGGGGCAAAGGAAGCGGAGCGGAGCCTACGACAAGCGTGCGAGACGGAGTGGGAGATATTTTTTTATTTGGAAACACGGTGCCTGGACGGACGGACGCGGGACGTCCTCACCCTATCATTATTGATGAATAAAATTACTACACAAAACTTAACCGAGACGGACGTTTTTGATTTACCGAGGCGGGCATCACAAATGCGTTAGACAAAAGGTCACGGTAAATGGGATCTTTTCCGAGGCGGTTCGATGCCCGCCTCGGTAAATCGAATAAAAAAACAAAAAAGGGAAACCCCGTGGATAAGCCTGGCGAGCCCATCCACGGGCCCGCCGAGCTCATCCACGTGCCGCCGCTGCTCGCCGATGCCTGCATCTGGCCGCCGGATCCGCCGCGGATGACGCCACTAGATCCGCGCCCCTCCTCTCCTCCCTACCAGATCCGAGCCGCGCCATTCCTCTCTTTCTCACCAGATCCACCGCCGGAGGGGTCCTCCCCACCGGATCCACCGCTAGAGGGGTCCTCCCCACGCAGATCTGCACCATGTCGGAGCCATGGAGGGAGGAGATAAGGGGCGCGGCTTGGAGAGATCCCCGCTGTGGTGGATCCCCGACGTGGTGGCGCCATGGTGGATCCCCGCCAAACGCGCCGCTAGGGCGCTCTAGCTCACCATGAGCCTCCACGTCGCCGTAGCTAACCACTGCGGCCCCGGCCGCTACTGGAGGGGAGAGGAGGGAGGGATGGGAGGAGGCGTGCCAGAGAGGGAGATGAGCTGAGGGAGAGGGGCGCTCGGTGTGAGGAGAGGGAGTGGGCGTTCGGGCTCGGTGTGCTCTGCGCAGCTGAGGGAGAGGGAGGAGAGGATGAGTGAGTGAAACCCTAAGTTGCGTATATATACTTGGAGTGATTTATCGGGCCGAGATGGGCTTTTCTAATTCAAAGTGGGCTTGGCCACATTAACAGAGGCCCGCCTCTGAAAATGGCCATATTTTCCCAGGCGGGCCTCTTATAAGTGACCGCTTTGGTTAATCTATTTTACGAGGCGGTGGATTGTGACCGCCTCGATTAATAAAAGTGACCGCCTCGATTAATCTCAGGCATTAACCGAGACGGTTGAAATGCCCGCCCGCCTCCGACGCCATTTTCAAAATGCCTCGCATATTTTTTTCCTCAGTAGAGTAGTATCCGTTTTACTTCTTCATCAGGAAAAAGATCTGAAATATAGCTGGGAGTGGGACATCCTGTCAGCATCCCTGCTCCGACTACACCGAGCCACATCAGTAACGGGAACGACGACGCCCGAGCACAAGTGCGCGACGTCGCCCAGGCTGGAACACACGAGCCGGGTCCAAGGCATGGCACGCGGGAACGGAGGCCCAGCTCCAGAATCCAAGGCCCAGAATGGGCGTGACCCAGCCCAGCTGGAGTAGTGTCGTGAGCAAGTAGCATAAGTATCCGTAGAGAGGGAAGGAGAGGATCATCAAACAAACAAAACTCTTGTAATATTGTTAGAAGCACTCCTCTGTTCTAAGAGATTCATCTGAACTACCCAATTGTTGTGTTATCCTATCCTTATTCTCATCTGATCTGTATGCTTACACAGCCATGTCGGAAATATCCTTTGATTGGCACGGCTAAAGGCGTGCCTCTCCTGCTGCTGCCAGGGAATAATAGCAGCAGGTCTTGAAGTCGTCCACGGTGTGGCTGAAGACAGACACATAGGCCTCGATGCTGCCGTCGTTGCAGAACGACGGGACGACGACCACCAAGCCCTCCACCGGGACGTAACTAGGCATGAAGAAGAAGAGCTTGCCGCCGCCGGCGCCGAAGTCGACCTCGTGGAACGGCGACCTGAGCACGCTGTAAACCGCGACGTGTGGGCTCTTCGCCGTCTCCGAAGGATCAGCCGTCGGCACGAGCTGCTCGTTCTCCACCGCGCCGGAGCTCGCGAAGTCGATGAACGACCTGAAGTAGCCGTCGTCGATCCGGGAAACCTCCTGGCGTATGAGCTCGGCGACTTGACGCAGCAGCATGGCCACCAGATCCCCTGCCGTGGCAGTCGGCCGCGCCCAGAGCACGGCGTTGCCGGTGTACGCGTGCGGCACCCGCGGACGGCGCATGCGCGCGCGCCCGTTCACGGCGATGTGCAACTCGGTGGCCGTGCTGTCTGTGCCGATCCCGCGCGCCTTGGTGATGCACTGCCATAGGTGCGCCACCAAACACTGAAGCGTGGTGTACGGCCGGGATGTGCCACCGGCTGAGGCCCGTGATCTGAGCTCCGAGATCATCTCGCGGCTGAAGTGCGCCCTGTGCACCACCACTTCCTGACCACCGGTGCTGGTGTTGCCTGTACCCTTCTTCGTCTCGCCACAGGCTTGAACTCGGCGCCACGGTGCTCGAACTCGACCCGAGGCGGGTCGCAGGGGACGAAGAAGGACACACGGTCGTGCACCGGGACAGGGTCAACGGCGGCGCCACGCGTGGCCTGACCCCAACTCCCCAAGCGACGACGAAGCTGCGCACAGCAGGGCCGTCGCCCACCAGGTGGTGCGCGGTGATGCTGACGGCGAACGAACCGCACGCGAACCGCGTGAACTGGAGGAGCATCAGCTCGTCAGCGACATCGCCGTCGCCGTTCGGGTGCAGGCTCGTGGTCTCCGGTGTTGGCTCCCACGGCATGACGCTGTCCAGCGCGACGTCGGCCGCCGCCTCGACAAACCGCGCGCCCGCGTCGTTGAGGAGTATGCCCCGGTTGCCGCTGGTGGCGTCCACGCCGAGACGGCCGGCCCACTCGCGGTACTCGGCGAGAGCCTTGGCCAGCCCTGCCTCCATGGCAGAGCTGGGCGGCGCCGGCGGCCGGAAGAAGTATATGCGGGAGATGTAGACGTCGACGGTTACCTTGTCAAAGACGGTCAGTGGGACGAAGTCGGCTGTGGCGAACGAAGCGACGCTGCTGCGTCTGCACTGTAGCTGTCATAGACAGGCTTGACGGACTTGGATGACTGCACCGTGATTTTCATGGCGAGGAAAGCCGATAGTGTAGGTTGTTACAGGGTTTGGGATTGAGGAACTTGCTAATCAACTAACTAGAGAAAGTGGAAGAGCAACTAATCCATTCGTGTGCTAGTGCTGCAAAAAGGAGTTACTGTAATCTCGTAAATTAAAATAGTAATTATCGTAACTCAAAATTGCCACATAATAAGTTATTCTATGACCAGCTGCAGAACAAAATATATATATATATATATATATATATATATATATATACCTTTTGGTCATTAGGGTTGGTGACTTGGAGTACCATATGGATGGCGGCTGGCCTACAGTGTGGACACAACGTAAATAAACAGAAGCGTGGCACACCTGATGTATATGTTGTACGGATTCTAACCTAAAAGGAAAGGACAAGGAGAAATCCTAATCCTAGTCTGTTTGTATGTGGACTCTTACCAAAACTCTTAGATCTTAGCAGAGCTATATATACGTGGGAGCTCTATATTGTAATCATCAATATTCAGAGGAATAAATAATAGTCTCCCTATCTTGTGTCTATTTATTCTCAACTTTCATCTACTGTGTTGATCATGAGAGACGGAGAGGAGAAGGTCCTGACCGCTGGCAATATATTTTATAACACGTTATCAGCACGACAAGCTCTTCGTCGACATCGCCGTTGAAGCTGTCGCCAATCTTCGATGCCGACGCTTGTACCGTCGACGTCCGGCCACGACTACTTCGACGACGTCGACATCCTGACGTTGTTAGCAGAACGGATCTGCTACCTCTACCTACAACTAATCTGCACTGCATCGACATGCATCGTCGTCATCAAGCGGGAGATCTAAGACAATACCAAACGCCCTACGTGGTTTGTATCTACTAGCCACTGCCACTACAGGAACTGCTGGATTCCCCGAGTGCCAGTTGCACTCGGGGAAGGCCCAGTTGCACTCGGGAAAGCCTTCCCCGAGTGCAACACTCGGGGAAGAGCCTCCGGCTAATCCTCTCACGGGAAAGTCGCCTTCCCCGAGTGTCAAAAATCGTGCACTCGAGGAAGGCTTTGCCGAGTGCCGTGCTGGCACTCGGGGAAGACTTGACGCCGTTGGCCGACGGCCGACGTCGTTTTTTTTTTGATTTTCTTCCCCGAGTGCAACACTCGGGAAAGATTTTTGAATTTTTTTTAAATACTCTTTGCCGAGTGCCGCAGTTCAGGCACTCGGGGAAGAAATTTGTTTTTTTTTTAAATCCCTCTTCCCCGAGTGCCACAACACAGGCACTCGGGGAAGCCACCTCTAAAATTCTTTTTTTTTGTTTTTTGCTTTTCCATGTAAACAACAAAGCATATATATATATATATATATATATATATATATATCACAAACCACAAATCAACACCAATATGTCACAAACCACATTTATATATCACAAACGACCAAATTTGTCCGAAATCCACAATATATTACAAACCACACGTTCAAAAGTACACACTATTCCAAGTTCACAAGTTCAATACATAAAAACGACTCCGAATGCGGCTCACGGCGACTGTGAGGGGTGGGGCGGTCCAGCGTGCGATCCCAGCGACGGTCCAGGTGGGGATGGCCCGACGTGCGATGCCGGCGACCCTTCGACATGGTTCGACGCCGCCCCCGATTGATGCTGCAAAAAAGAGAGGATTCATGAACAGATATGCGATTCTCCTAGACTGTTACCATCTTCTGATTCACATGCCACCAGTCTTAAAAAAAATCACCACAACAGATATGCGATTATTTATACTAATGCATTCATTGTTCTGTAATGTGTCATCTTAATTCATAATTGCATACAAGATCTTAAAGAATGCCAAAGGAAAATACTGGCCCTTCGGATGTGAATAGTTGCTATACAGATGTAAATAGTTTACAAGTGGTCTGATTCACTGAAACCCCTCCCTAACCTGGTCCCGCCCCTCTCAAATGAAAAATCATATCTTCAGTATTCCACAATATTCAGCTACTGTCTTATGCCTTCCAAACAGAACTGATTCAGTTGTGTGCATATGTGCTTCAAGTAAGGATGAAAATAGGATCTAGATTACCAATTTCTAGGAAAATTCTCACAATAATGAATTATACAATATAAAACATTTGTGTGTGTGAGAGAACCGTGTGCCGCCGAACAAGGAAATTTGTTATAAGTTATATGGGATATCTAGTATGTAAAAGAGAAATTAGGTTCACCTGCTTTCTATAAGAACAGAAATCACTGTAACCAAGAATCATAATGTTGAGAACTGCAGAAACAAGTTGAGACGTATTACAAACAAAAAAAATGCTCTAGTAGTATTCATAAAACACGTAACCAGTGTATACAGATTTAGAGCAGTAAAAATACCAAGATAAGCTTAACAACCTTGCAGCAGCTGTCATCTACTACATCCTTCCAGTCTTTAGCAGTAATGGTCTTTAGACAGGGCAACCAGACTTACTAATTGCTCTGTTTTAAGATCCAGTCCAACTGATTTTCCAAGTAGATAAAGCAGCGGACTTCAAATCTGACTGACCCACAGAGTGAAGGATGAGTATACTATTGTACACATATACTAACATGTACATAGAAGACTTTATTTAGGGTATAAATGCGCTACCATGCAAATGTTTACTGATCCATTATAGTGAGCCAAATAAAATTGGTAATAGAGTGAAGTGAAGGACTGAGGGAGAAAGAACTTACCAATATGATAACACTATGAGTCCACTCATAACTGCTCTAAATGGATCAGCCAAGGAACTTAAATTGTAAAGAGGTCATACAGATCAAACAATCAGAATACCCCCCCTAAATTACCGGAAAGTACTTGGTATCGCAACTCTAAATCAGGGAAGAAGAAGATTCCAAAATAATATGACCCAGCACTAATTAGTACTAATTAGAATGTCCAACGGTATTAGTTTTGTTTCCAACCAGGGAATTGGCAACATAAATTCAAGATGAAGCACAAGTTCGACAGATCTTCAAGAATATCTTCTACTGTGTGCTGCTTTATATTTTCTTATATACGAAACAGACCTTGCTCATATACATGAAGAGCATTAGAATTTGCATACACAGCCATTGAAAGGGAATAAAGAATTAAAGAAAACCCAGATTACCTTGGTCCAGTAGTGGTTACACAAGAGGAACTTGGAAATCACCAGATCACATCTGAAAAAAGGGTGCACTAATATAGTTCAATTTCAAGGATAGATTACTCCAAAGATTTCACAAATAAAATTAATAAGACTTTCGCTAGACGATAGAGAAAAATGCTCCACGAACAGTTATCAGATATCATATATACCAACTTGATAGCCGCTGCAATCAATAGGGACGAGGTGTCGGGGATGGCCGGATGGAGGGCATCTTGATTGTAGAAAGCGTCATTCTTCTCCCCTTTTTTTATATCCTAAGCAATCAATTTCGAACTGAATCAACTCAATTAGGAGCAAGTAGGTTAGAGGAACTAAGCTATCATTGTCAGGGAAGGAGATGCAAAGGGGTAGGGTGCATCGGAGGGAACCTGACCTCTTGCCTCAAGTGGTAGGACAGCTCATCGTGACCGGCATCCATGGTGGCAGTGGCGGCGCTGGGCCGTCGTGCCGTCTGTTCCTGCACCACCCGCCTAAATGAGATCGCGCTACGCAGAGATGTCTGATTCGAGTTTTAGGCATTCGACGTTGCAACTTGCTCGAAACCTTCTCGATTTTTTATCATAGCCTCTACATGCGATAACAAGATGCCCAGACAAGTTTCGTGATTTTCGGACTTCTTTCGGATTTTATATAATTTAAAAACACTTTTCCCGCAAGTTATTCGTCATGTTACGTCAACAAGATGCTCGACATTTCATGCGAGTTCTTGGATAAGGCCTCAACATACACCAAATATCATTAATATAATTTTTTGAATCACCAAATTCTATTATTTCATGCACCAGCCGTTCAAATTCGAAGTATGCAAAAAAATTCAACGAAACGAAAAAAACTAACGAAATATAACAAAAAAAAGTCAAAATTGTCCTAAATTTGAACAGGGAGTTTTAAATAATGTGGGAAGGCCTCACAAAAAAAATGAGGCAAAAAAAACAAAAAAAACAAAAAATCTTCCCCGAGTGCCTTCCCTAACACTCGGGAAGAGGCCCTTTCCCGAGTGCCGTGACAGGGGCACTGGGAAGGTCGCTCCTCCCCGAGTGCCCCGCCCCGCACTCGGAAAGGGCCTTCCCGAGTGTTAGGGAAGGCACTCGGGGAAGAATTTTTGTTTTTAAAGTTTTAACGGTGTGGGCGGGGTGGACCGTCAAGTAACATGTTTCTTTGCCGAGTGCCGATCTTCCCCGAGTGTTGCACTCGGGGAAGAGGGCCTTTGCCGAGTGCTGCTCTTTACCGAGTGCCATGATCTCTGCAGCACTCGGGAAAGCCTCTATTCCCCGAGTGCAATTCTTCCCCGAGTGCAACACTCGGGGAAGATTTTCTTTCCCGAGTGCCTGATTTTTGGCACTCGGGGAAGCCAGCGACACTCGGGGAATTTTGCCTCTCCCGTAGTGTGCCCTACGCGGCACGTGAGGTAGATCAAATTGGCATCCTCTGTAAGGTATGAAAACATCGCATCTCGAAGATCGCATTTATCCCAGCCATACATCAAGTTAAGCAATTGATCTTGTTCTAATATTGTATAGGAAGTACATATATGCTCATACATGCTGTACATATAGACATGGATAGTCTATGCTTTACGGATTGCATCTAGGTTGTTTCTTTAAAAAAAAAGGAAAAACATGAGTGCGTATGGATTTGTCTTATGGCTGAATGTTGCGT